AATAAATCCCTTTTCTTTGGGGAATAAACCCCCTTTTTTTTGGAAATAAATCCCTTTTTTAGGGAATAAATCCCTTTTATTGAGACAATAAATCCCTTTTTTGGGGGAATAAATCTGGGGTTTTTGGGAATAAATCCCTTTTTTTGGGAATAAATCCCTTTTTTGGGGGAATAAATCCCTTTGGGGAATAAGACCCTATTTTTTTGGGAATAAACCCCCTCTTTGGGCCAATAAACCCCTTTTTTAGGGGGAATAAACCCCCATTTTTGGGGGGGAATAAACCCCCTTTTTGGGGAGAATAAACCCCTTTTTTGGGGAGAATAAACCACCTTTTTTGGGGGGAATAAACCCCTTTTCTTGGGGAATAAATCCCCTTTTTGGGGGGGAATAAATCCCTTTTTTTGGGGAATAAATCCCCTTCTCTTTGGGGAATAAATCCCCTTTTTTGGGGGAATAAACCCCTTCTCTTTGGGGAATAAATCCCCTTTTTTGGGGAGAATAAATCCCTGTTCTTTGGGGAATAAATCCCCTTTTTTTGGGAATAAATATCTTTTTTTGGAACAATAAATTTCTTTTTTGGGGGGAATAAACCCCCTTTTTTGGGGGGGAATAAATCCCTTTTTTGGGGGAATAAATCCCTTTTTTGGGGGGTATAAATCACCTTTTTTGGGGAGAATAAATCCCTTTTTTGGGACAATAAATCTGGGGTTTTTTGGGGAATAAATCCCTTTTTTGGGGAGGAATAAACCCCTTTTCTTTAGAGCATCAAATCACTCCAACATCCCCCAAAATCCCTTTTAAACCTCACCTAGATGGAAAAAAAACCCCTTATTTTTTAACTTATTCTCCTCACCAAGCCAGGTCAGAACCTCCACTCACCATCACCAACATGATTTATCCACACGAGGTTCTGCTGGGTGCTCCCCACTCAGATCCCAGTTCAGAACTGGGGTGTGATGGGTGGGAGAGTGGGACCCCCCCACACTTATACTGGGAGGGGGTCACCAGTGGGATCCTCGTGCTCCAGAGTTTCCATCCCGAGGTGGAACGGGGCCGTTGGATGAAGCCACCGTCCACCCGCTGCCAAAACGCCGCCGCTTGACTTTCCTGGCACGTGGTTCCTGGTTAAAAAAAAACCCCCATTATCAGATTTCACCCTTTTTGGGTCAACCCCAGTGTTTTGCCTTTGCCCTTATATGGAGTTTTGTTGATTTGGGGTTTTTTTTTTCAGGCTGGATATGGATTTTTCTTTCTTTTCTTGATTCTGTGGGTTGTGAAGAGCATGGCGGGGGCGGACAACCCATGTCAGGCTGTGGTGGATCGAGGGGACATGAGGCAGCGGTGTGTGCTGGGGGCAGGAAGGACAACAGTGTCCTGGGGGGACATTAAAGAGCGTGGCCAGCAGGTCCAGGGAGGTTCTGGTTCTCCTCCCCCTCTGCTCTGCCCTGGTGAGGCCACATCTGGAGTGTTGGGTCCAGTTCTGGGCTCCCCAGTTCCAGAGGGACAGGGATCTTCTGGAGAGAGTCCAGTGGAGGCCACAGAGATGATGAGGGGCTGGAGCATCTCCTGTGTGGGGGGCGGGTGAGGACTCTTCATCCTGGAGAAGAGCAGCCTGAGAGGGGATCTGATCAATGTCTATAAATATCTGAAGTTTGGGGGCCAAATGGATGGGGCCGGGCTCTTTTCGGTGGTGGCTGGTGACAGGACAAGAGGCAATGGGCAAAACCTGGAACACCAGGAGGTTCAGACAGACTTAATAAAAAACTTCTTTACTGTGAGAATGTCAGAGTTGGAATAAGGTGCCCAGAGAGGGTGTGGAGTCTCCATCTCTGGAGATGTTCAAGACCCGCCTGGACACTTTCCTGTGCAACCTGGTGTAGGAAACCTGCTTTGTCAGGGGGGTTGGACTGGATGATCTCCTGAGCTCCCTTCCAACCCCCACCAGTCTGGGATGATTCCACAGCAGATGTCATTCCTTGGCTGCCCTCCCTCCACCACCAGAACCCTGGATTTTGCCGAGGGTAACTGGAACCAGTGGTTTTATAAAGCTTTTCTTCTCGGAGTCATGCAATGGGCTGAGATCTCTGGGATTTGTCTCATAGCCTGCAGGCAAAATCTGGAGAGCTCAACCCCCCCCCCTTCCCTCCCCCTCGACACGCACATTGGGGGGGGTTAGAGCCAAGAATAAGAAACTCAAACTGGGTTGTTTTTTCTCTTGACTTGGAATATTTGCATTCCTGGGATTGATAAACCTTTGTTTCCAGCTCTGCTGAGCTTGGGGTGCTTCATCACAGGGGGGGGTGCTTCCCACCAGACAGGAGTCACCTTCAGCCAGCAAAAAGGGGGGGGGTAGGGAGGGAAAAATCACCCCACCACCCACAGCCAGAAAGGATGCTGTGGCAAGGAGCTTTTCCAGTGTCCTGGGAGAGGAACCCAACAGCTTGTCCTCCTCCTTCCAGTGCTTGAGGCTCAAGATGTTTGGGCTTCACAAATTGATTCAACCAGGGTGGGGGGGGAATAAAAGTCTTACAGACACGTAGAGGGTGAGGCTGAAGCATCTCTGGGTCTTTGTGGGTGAGGTGAGAAGTCTTGTTGATGGGGGGGAAAATGTATTTTTGGCTGCCTGTCAATTCACCCCAACCACAAAGGTGGTGGAGATCCGGGGCTGGGCTGCTCTGTGAACCTCCTGAGACACATCTTGGTTCCCCCCAACCCCTGTGGGTCCCTGGCTGAAGCTCAGGGATCTGTTTCTGCCTTTCCAGGATCTCCCACCTCAAAGCTGGCTCTGCAGCCAGGGATTATTTTTTTCCCCTCATGGAGAATTTTAGTCACTGCTCATGCCTGTGTGTGTGACCGGGGTTCTCATCACAGCTCAGCTCCTTCCCACTCTCCAGCCCCACACCAGCTTCAGGGGCATCAGTGGTGGGTTTTGTTCATGGCCCCTCGTAGTGTGTCAGGGATGAGGAAGCAGGAGAGAGGAAACCCCGACCCTCCCCAGCAGCCAGGATCTTCCCAGATCCCCGGCTGTGATGGGAATCTTGGCTTCCAGCAGGATTCCAGGTGGAGGATCTGGCCCTGGCAGAGCTCACACTTGGGGGGTGGTGGATGATCTCTCCTCCCTGTCAGATGTTGGGGTTGTCTCCTGGATGGGGAGCAGAAACACCAGCTCTGTGCCCAACTGGGGTGATCCCAGACTGGTTCACCCTCCCTTCCCAGGCAGAGCTGGACCCACGGGCCCAGCTGGAGCTCTGCACGCTGTCCTGGGTGGTGACTGAGATCCGTGGGTCCCCCCAGACCCTGCCATGACCCAGCTTCCTCCCCCTCAGCGCAGAGGAAATGCCTGCAGGCAGTGCTGGCTCTCTGGTATGTTCCCTTGGCCCCCATCTGGCCTACACATGTGGAATGGGCTCCGTGCCTCGAGGAGAAGCCAGAGGCTTCGCAACATTCCCCCACTGCTTCTTGCTGGTCTCCATCTTCAAGCCCTTTGGGCCAGTCCTGGCCATCTTTGAACTTCACCAGCCCTCACAGCCATCCCCAAAACCAGCTGAGCCCTGTTTTTCTCCTCAGGGGAGGACGTGGTGCTGAGGAAGCTCTGCGAGCTGCGGGCGGGTGA